TGGGTGTGTTAGATTTATTTGTGACCAAGATCTTAATAAGATTTGTTTCAAGATTTTATATTTCCAAGATTAGAAAAAGAAATAACAACTCTGAATATCTTGACCCAAGATCTTGCATGCAACAATAGCGACACACACTAAAATAAAATGTGTCGCATATATGTGTCGTACAAGAATGTGTCGCAGACTCCATTATAAAAATGTGTCGTACAAAAATGTGTCGCATTATAGATGTGCCATAGCCTATATGTCAATCGTTCATTCACCGATTTGTTTCGCGAGTGCAGCTGCATATAACCGAGCCTATTGCACGTACTTGGCTTATACATTTTCGTATGTCTTTTTTTTCTAGATTATTTCTCGACCATTTATTATTCGAGAACATGTCGAGAGGTCGCTAGATGATCGAGAATGGACTGCCGCGAAGTAGTCTGATCGAGATCAAATGGTCTCGAGACAGCTAGATCTTAAGATCTACCGTCTTGAACCCCAAGAATAGATGCTACTATTTGAAATTAACTGAAAAAATAGTAACTATTCGAATTTTCAAAAAAAAATTATCCTCGTGCCGAAAAATGGATTCGAACCACGTGTTAAAAATGTGTCACATGTGTCGCACAAGAATGTGTTGTACGTCCGCTGGAAGAAATGTGTCGTACATTGTGTCGCAAAGTACGACACATGCGACACATTTTATCTTAGTGTGCATCAATAGTTTATCTACATAATCAAAAATTGTTCCATTATCTATGTTTTATGTACAAAGAATATCCTCAATCATTCCTGCGATATGACAGATATTAAAGAGATTTATCATGCTGAAGGTCCACATTATCCAATGAAATTACGAATTTAAATAACAAAGAAGAAAACGATAAAGAAATTGTATAATGTATTTTTATTTCTTTTTGAGCAGTTTACTGTGTATTCATGCCGGATATTTTCCTTTATTCGAGAAAAAGATTCACAGTCAATTACAAGTTCTTGCAAATATAAGAGTTTTCATAAGTCTAAAATTTTCATAGACTAAGTTTTTGCTCAAAAACCTTGTTTGAATTTCATTTCAGGTTTTGGTTTCAGTGTAATATTTTATTTAAATCAGTTTTTCATTTGATGTGCTTTTCTAAAGTAAATTGTGCTAGAATATTAATATATCGATCTTTGATTTTTAAACTAGATACTTTCTTATTTTTTTAGATATTTTGTAAATAATTAAAATTTTCTTCATGTGAAAGATTGTGATCGATTAAACTTACATTAGACTGATTTTAATTAGTTAATTTTTTTTTGTGAATTTTTTTTTCTGTTTTACTCGTTTTAATGTGTTTATGTAAATTAAATATTTTTCGAACTAAAAAACATTTTTCTGAACAATCAGTTTTTTATAGTACTTTTTATCGTGCAACTAGTGTGTTTTCTAATGAAGACTAAACCTTTTTTGAATATTCTAATAAACGTTTTGATATATTAAATCAAAATTAGAAAACAAGATTGAGGCAAGATCTTGAATACTGCTGGCCAAGATATAAATATCTGTACCTAAGATCAGTAGAAACGATTATACAAGGCAAGATATTATATTAAAGATCCTGGATATCTGTTAGCAAGATTTGAAAAATCTGTACCCAAGATCTTAGCCAAGACCTTGCTTACAAGATATTCGCCTAGGGTCTGAAATAGAAATATATAACAATGTTATTTAATTAATTTTGATGATTTTTATTATATTTTATTAGATAGTAATAAAATAAAACTAACTTACCTCACATACATTATTTAATTTGTCTTGAAAACAGATCTCTGTATGATCATATAAACTGGCTCCTTTTAAATCTCTCAAATCGTCAATTATATTACTATATGCGAAACTTTTCGGTGATACAACTGTAGATGTGTAACTCTTAAAGATATAGTCATATATATCACCAACAAAATACAAAATAAGAGAAGTCTTTGAATAAAAGTGTTATAATGTAATTCACTTATATTGGATATTTCTCTTTCTTTCTTTCTTTCTGTTCTCTATCCTATTATCGTACAAATAACATGTACGACATATGTATATTTTTTTTCTTTCTTTTCTATCCTTCATTTGGACATTTTCTACTGATACTCTTCTCTTGGTCTTTTTCATGTTTTCTTCTCAGTATGTTTGGATTTTTTCTCTCGTGTTCACCTATATATAGTCACCATTTCGACAATAAAATCTGTGTAGTTCTGCATTGATCTACTAGATAAATCGCTCGGTCACAAAAAGAAAAGTAGAAAAGACATACTCATACAATCGCATTTATTTGTTAGTTGGAATATAGTGAAGAATATCTTGGATACATAAATTCTTCTATATCCTTCCAAAATTTATTTTGAGAATCTTATACCATATTCGATTCTAGAAAATAAAGTTGTACTTTCAAAAATGTTAATTGATATAAAAGAATGAATTTCATTTCATTATAAAAGAATATTCATTATATTCGACTATGCTAAATATTGCAGAATTCATTTCAGAATCTCGATCAATACTCAAGACCAGAATTTCAAATCATATTGATCTAGTTCTCGAAATTCCCAAAATTCTGAATAATTTTTCTGGAATTAATTCTTAGAATCATTTGTAAATTCTAGAAACTAACGTATAATGATATCATCACACATGACGGGGAGAATCGAAAATAATTCTATTCTTATTCAATAACCAGAGCCCTTAGAATTACTGGAACTTGTTAGTATCGTTTCGATCTTTGATATTGAGCATTGAAACGTATTCTGTTATTTTATATTTCATATGTGTTAATCATTGATTGATCTAACATATCAATAATGGACTATAATCCTTTATTTTCTTCGCTGCCATTACATATAAAAGTAAACAAGCTAGAAAAACCAAAACACATATCGATAACAATCTCCGAATGAAAGAAGAAAAAGACAAAAAACATACATATCTGTCGTGCACGTTATTGTTTTATTTTTTATGTCAGTGAATGTAACATTTGAAAATATTTACATGATGATAAAAAATGAATGAAAATATTCAACTCAGAAATAGCATCACTAACGCAAAATATTTCATAATTTGTCATTAAATGTAATATAATCTTTTACGTATAAAGATATTCAACGAGTAAATTGAAAATATTTTGAAGAGAAGAAAATATACTGTTGAAAAGACACAATCATATAAGAACAATAAAATAGTGAAGTGACAAAACAAAAAAGACATTACTTTTTTATTCTTTCAATTAATCGTCTCAACCAAAAAAAAACGGTAATAGTTTATACGCTAAGTAAAATAATTTAAATGCTATGATGATTTTTGTCTAGTTAACTTTGTATTTGTCCAATAAATAAATTCACAGTTGAATAAAGATAATGGAAGCGCAGTTAATTTATAATTTTTCAGTCATAAAAATATTCACTTGATTAGATAATTAATATCAATATCAAGTTTCTTTTTTGCTAAGTTAATAAATGAAAATCATTGTTATAAAACAAAACTAAAATGTAGAAATGTTTACTAATAAATCATTTTCAATAAAGACTTCGTGTGAATGTCTAAAATAGACAGATTTTTTTTTAGTGGTCTAACGTATGCATTTTCTCTTTTCATTTGTTTCTATAAGCAGCCTTCCCGATTAGGGAGGGCTGAGGTCTAGTCTTCACCAAAATTTGAAAATATATCCGACTTTCACGGAGATTTTCTAATACTTTCTGCCAAAGTTTTAAAAACTTCGTGGTGAGTTCTGGAAAAACCAGATTTTTAGGTTTTATTTACCATTCTTCTGGAAGAAAGTCGAATAAAAATGCTATCTGTTCATAGAATCTCACAGAAAGTTGATGTATTCAGGTCGAGCTGATTTGAATCATCATATTTCGATCATGATCAATTCGTTTTCGATCTCTGCTATAAACAATCGAACAAGACCATGGTCTCTCTTTTCATTCTCTACTTTTCAAGAATTCTAATTAATTTTTTTTCATTCTATTAGATATGATCGTTTTCTCTATTTTTCATTTATACTTCTTTGGTTATAAGATGCACTGCTCTTCATTAATTATATTTAAATGCAAGGTATCGCAGAAGTTACACAACACTTGGTACTACAAAAATGTTATACCATGTGCAAGTGTAGAGACAATAAGAAAAAGACAGAGAAGAAAATTATTATTTCGTTCAAATAGAAACAGAAAATATTTTTTTCCTAAATATATCAATACTTAATTAATTATAAATAATTATGTTTTAAAATGAGATTATATTCTTTTAAGAATTTGTTGTCATGTGAATTCAATTAAAATTTATATCATTGATATTATCTTTCTTGATTGACAATGATAGACAAAGCTTTGATATGATTGATTTTTTTTGTTAGACAAATTCCTTATGTATTAAACAAAATATCTAAGATTTTTCAGTTTTCTTATGAAGAAAATTCTTATTTTTATTCTAATATTATAAACTCACGCCATTTTGTACTTTGCTATATAGACAAAACATGTTTCTTATTAGATTCTTTTCCTTTCTTTTATACATATGAAGTATGTTTCTATTGTCTATAAAATGAATGAAATGTGGAATGAAGAAAAAAAATATATAGAGAAAGGAGAGATTTTGATAAGAAAAAAAATTAAATGCAATTATTTAATTCTAAATCAGTTCTATTTAAACTTGATTCTCTCTTCATTATTATATCTCATATAGTTTAGTTAATTAAGTGTATTTTTCCCCTCTGCCAGTATTATGTATGAAGTAGGAGATCATCTGCAACGTTATTAAATTCAAGTCATTGTCTCTTGTAATAGCATAGGCTAGATGATTTTATTATAAATTATATGACTACAGTTGGTTATGTAAATAGAATTTGAATGAAACATACCACGTGATTGTTTCCATAGTTAATCGACACGAATAGAAGGAAATAATAATCTACATTTATAAGCAAGGGAAAAATAGAAACGAATATCAGTACACATTGCTTTTATAAAACGAGAAGGTACACATGGCTTTGATTCGAAATGTGCAAGTCAGTACATGTGGCATAGATACACTAGCTTTATCTACTTCTGGTGTTGCACCGTGTATAGTATTTGTCATAGTACTGGAAGATAAAATTTTTATTGATCATGTTAGTTCTGAAAATTTTAATGCTTCATCAACATGTTCTATCAATGATGCACATAGTTTTTTGATGAACACGTTTAATCGTCTTCATCAATTAGAACCATCTCCAATGATACAAAATATCTTTATAGTTGGAGGTTGGAATAATAATAATTTTATAACATTAAAAAGTAAAATTAATTTTATATGCAATCAATGCAATACAAGAATGGAAGAAAATAGTAGTTTACCACCTCATGAATTCGATTTATTTTTAAGTAAAATTAAATGGAATTTAATTGGTTTTAATCTACCAGCAAAAAATTCTGATGGTACAGATAAAGATGATGATGATGATGATGATCCAAATACTTATATAGTTGATTTTACTCTCGTTTACGATCGATCATCAACTCCTCATCGTTTTATTATTTGGCAATATGCCGGTCGAGAGGAGGAATTGTTTAATACACGATCTGATTCATTAATCCAAGCAATCTATGAATTTAATCCAATATCAAAAGACTTTCGAGCATGCATATGCTCAAATGCTAATTCATTACCACATTATGATGATTTTTTTAAACTAGTATTATTGAATGTTGGAAATCCACAGTTTATTTATCCTTCATTTAATAGTGATTATTTTAAAAACATATTCAATAATTTATTGTTAAGAGTTGAACAAGCATCACTCTTTTGATTAAAAAAACTGATTTTCTTTTGTTTGTACAAAAACGTTTTTTCAAATATTTTTGAAATTTATTGAAATGTTGTGAGATTGATTAGACATGTAGAAACATGTGAAATGATAAATTGGTTGTGTGATTTAAAAGAAAATCAATTATGAAGATTTTTAGTTGAATAGAAAATGAGCATGAAAGAAAATTTTTATATGGTTTAGGTCATTTTATTCAAATAGACTTTGCTTATTGAACATATGGGTTGATATATTCAAACAGCTTTTTCATTTGAAATTAATCAAATAGTGCTTAATAAAACTAACTATATATATAGATATATCATATATAATTAGTTGAATATTTTATTGATTTATTAAAAATTTAAGCTTCACTATACAACTATTCATCTTTTAACTAGAACTCTATTCTAAGATATGTATTGAGGGTGAGGGATTTCCCTCCGAAAAAATTTAAGACTTTCTACCAAACGTTTTGATAATGCTTTCCGCGAAGTTTTGATGGTTCGGTTTAGTAAAAAATTTCTAAATTTACTGGAAGAAAAGCAAACTAGACACATTCTTGCCGAATTCTTGCAGGAAGTCGATGTTCTTTATGCTAAATATCTCCCAGAAAATCGAACTCTTTTCTACCAAATTGTTAATAGAAAGCCAATACTCTTTCTGCTAAAGATCACTCGAAAACTCGCTGTTCTTTCTGTCGATTTTTCTACTAAAATTCGGTGCAGATAATATCGATTTTCTGTGAGAGATTTAACAAAAATAACACTGACGTTCTGCGAAAAAAAAATTATGAAATTTCTGCCAAATTTTTAGCTCCTCGGCTCTCAAAAATACCCGGGAACGCTGCTAGGAGTACAAGAGTAAATTATTCGTGAAAATTTATTTGATATTAAATGTTTTGTAAATAAACTTGACAGAAATATTAATTATTAGTCTCCTGTAGCAAGTTTCATTGATTAATGTAAGCGAAATTATGTTACAAGTAAATGTATCGATGAATTTTAAAATTATTTATCAAGTTTTTTTAATGTGTATATTATCAATAATATTGATAATGCTAGATTTTTTAAATAATACTAAAAAAAAGATTTCTTTTAATGAATTTATTACTTAGAATTCTTGGATTAGATTTTGCTTCTTTTTATGAAACGTTAACACATTTTGATTAAATGTTCGATGAACTTCAATAGTTTATTCAACAGTTCTTTAGTTGTTTATTTTATTTTAAATGAATATATTGTGATTAAAAAGTGAAATACCTTGATATTATATATTACTTCAATAGGTAAACAGTTGATTTCAAGATTTCAAAAGACTTCTTGAGACTTCCAGACTGAAGTTTCTGCTGCTTCCCCTTGTATTATTTTTATTTGGAATATTTTATTCTTATTGTCTTAACATATTTATATTCTTGAAACAAAAAACTTATATTAACATTTTAATTATATTTTTGCATTAATGCTTTTGGAGGAATTATTAAAATTTTTTTAGTGATATCAATAGATACAATATTAAATATCTAATAATAACATATGTGGGATTTATGGTTTTTTCCTACAATATGTTAGAATACTAATCAACAATTGTGTGAACTGTTGAATAGAAAACACCCTTTAGAAGAGCCGACCGAAGAAACTTTTGTAGTGTCCTATGTAGTTAGTCTTTGGGTATCTATATCATTAGCTTGTGCGATAATGTCTAACATATATAAGTGACTTTTATCTAGAATATTACAATAATCAATTCCATTACCGGGCGTATTGATATTTTGACATCACTCAACTGATGTACTTTGATGCTAGTTTAATCAAATAAATAATCAAAGTTATAGAATGTTTTTCGTATTATGTAAGCGCGACTGACTTTGATTGTTGCATGGATAACGGTGCCTCAGCTTCTCCGTAGCATTGATTTCTATACTTTCTTCAGTATATTTTGTAATTAAAAGATCATTAAATATTAAAGAAGAGAAAGTTATCCTAGTAGCGTTGGTATTACTTTTTTTGCGTTCTTAATCCATAAAAATCTATCAGAAATCAACTAAATATCAAATAATTATAAAAATAATTTAAATATCCATATCACAATGTACACTTACAGTTAATACTCTATTTTAAGAAAATATGTAAGTAATTTTTTTACACGAAAATGATTCAGAAAAATAAAATATTAGATTTGGTTATTTATATAACTATCGAATTATTTAGAATATTATAAATTCTACAGTTGCGAACAATGGATCTTTAGAATACAATGATCTAATATGAAGAAGCACTTTAATTTAAAACCAACAAGAACAATAGTGCCTATAAAAACAAATTAAATGCTAACGAGACTCGAATTTCTATTAAGCAAAGCTAAGACTTTTGGTGTTCTTTTTCATTCTATATCATAATTAATTAATTGGTTAAAACTTTATGTTAATTACTTATTCAAGGAAAAATATATAATTGATTGTCCTAAATGTTGTTCATCTGTGAATTATATTCGACTATTGTTACTTTAGGTATACGTCCGAGAATATTATCATTGTTGTTCACGGTATTGATGACAGTAATATGACTTCGTCGAGCAGTTAAATGTTTCAGATTAGATGTCAGAGTGAGAATACGATTTAGAGTAGGAAAATCGATAGATGTAACATCGCCAAGATAAAGTTCTGTAACTGTTGGTAACGTTAATTGTGTGTTCTGAATAAGATCATCACTTAATTTACAGTCCCATTTAAAACGAAGATGACGTAGAGAAGGACATGTCTGCCGTATAAACGTGAATAGAGCAAGATTTAATTTATCGTTAGAACGAAAACTAATCATGAGAATTGATGGAAGAGATAAAATGACATTGGATTGAGGATAATTGCAGTGATAGTCAACAAAATCATTAGTTACATGCTCAAGTCGATCGAAAGAGAATGGTATTGTAAATCGTGTAAGATATTGATGCAAATGATGTATTGAAACGACTTGATTTCTTGTCCAACGGTCAAATGCATGACGACGATCGATTTCCAAACTTAACAAACCACTGTGAACACAAAAATCGATCGATTTCAAATGTGGTAAATAATCGAGTAAATGTCGCTCGAACTTGCGCCGTGTCGCCATCAGAAAACAGTACCCAATACTGATGTAGAATGACAGATGCTGGAGTGATAAAGAAAACCTTTTAACAAAGGCGCAGAAACAATGTGTATCCATGAACTGATCATAAGCGATAAGTCGTAATAATTTAACTTTTGTTGGCCATTGCTGTTCTTGCAAGAATTCAAACTTGAAACATGAAACTGTACTGTAAACACTATGAAGACGAAGTTCAAAATGTTCAAGATTAGGTACAAACGGCATTAAAAGAATGGCAAAATAAATATGACCTAAGTCAACTGATAAACGAGTGAGATTTTGATTGATCAAGAGAGAGCGTAATGATATTGGGAAAAGATCATCTTTATCCAATACAAAACAATTTGAGGTTGATAAACTTTCTAGACAACTATCAGGATGCCATATAAACGAAACCAACCCTTTAATTCTTTCAGGTTTTTCCGAAGTCAAAGTGACTGAAAATGTTTTGAGTCGAGTGAATGTAATCATTTCAAATACTTTTTCAGAGACCGTTGTCATCTGAAGATCAAGACGGTTGAGTCTTGGAAATATGGAAGAAAGACGATAATCGAAATGATCAAGATTAATTCGAAGTGATAAAATTGTATTGTTCTCGAACGATGATAAATAAGACAAGCATCTATCAATTGAAACAACAGATGTATCAATTCTTGACAAATCAATATGATGAATATGTGCATAAAGAAGGACATTCAAACGACGATTGTACAATTGACCAAACGCATGTAATAGATCTGTTGAATGAAGATAAATAAAAATATGATAGAGTAAAAGTTCATTGGACAATGAAAGCAGAAATGTTGGTTCTAAAAAACCAAAAATCTTTTATTCGTAAATAATTAAACCTTAACAAATTATTACTCACTGTTCATTTTTATTTTTACCGTATGACATCTTGACCTCGAACATGTTCAGTTTTATACAACATAATTCATTGTTCATTTTCTTTATATTCTATTGGTTATTGTATCTTATGATTCGATAACAATAAATAATTGCTCATCATAGAGGTCATCTTATAGTATTATTAATCCTACCACTGGAGAAAAAAAAGCGACTTTTGTTTTTGCTTAGTTTTATCAATGACATCAATTGTTCAAATATTTATTGTAACAAAAAAAAACCATACTTCTTACAAGATGTTTCATTCGTCTAGTCTCTAGTTAAGAAATGGGATTCGTCTTGTTTTCATATAGATGGTGAATAATAGATAGTGAGGCATTTTCTTTATTATTTGAAATGAACATGTGATGAGCCATATGCAGAAACTTAAAACGAATACTGATATAATCAAAATAAGTTAGAAGATATATTTTTATTAAAACTACTTTAAACGTTAGATAAAATAAAATAATAATGTAATTTTAATGATTTACTCTAATATAAGATCGATGCATTGTAATAGTAGAATTAAGACAGAAAATATTTAAATAGATTATTTGAAATTATTTAGGAATTTTTTTCCGATTTATCAATATTCGTCCGGTTTTTAGATAAAAAACTTAATCATTTTAAAAATGATCTATTTGAGAGTATTTCAATTTTGAAATCAAATTTCATTTTTGTTTTTAAATATTTATTAATAAATACGAAAATGAAAGTATAATCAATGTTTGAAAAATACAAAATAGACATCAGAAGTAATTTATTCAAATGACTGTAAACGAATATTAGTATTTCGAAAAATTCTATTATCTATCTATCTATATATATAAAGAAGAAAGTTTGTGTATTTGTTCTTCATGCATTTGAACATGGTATGACCAAATGCGATGAAATTTTCAAGAGAATACACCTTCGTCCAGAGGAAGGTCATAGGGTAGTTTTCGACCGAAAATTTTTACTTGAGGGGAGTGTTTACCCCCTCCTATTGTCGGATTACTACAGTAAGTACCTTTTCAGAGAGCCTGTGCGCGTGGTTGTTTCTCAATAATTCGAGAACGAAAGTATATTAAAACCTGCGCTTTTTGTCATAGGTGTGGGTGTGAGTGTGCGTTGGAAATTAATGTCAACAATCACACCCACACCCTTGCATACTCATTATAACTTGACTTTTAGGAGAAATGTACTTCGACTGTGTGTCTGGTCTAGTCCATTTTTGTCTGTTAACTTCGTCTAGACTAGTCAGTAGAACAGAAAAATAATAGAACAAAAGGAGACGAAAGTTAAATTTGAACATTTAATTCGAATGATTCAATATCAGATGAGTATTCAGACGTCAGTTTATACAATCTTGATATTCATTTGCTAAAAAATTAGAAATCAGTCGAAGACAAACGACGAATGTAACAAAAGGAATTTTTCAATATCTGTAATTCTTATTTTAAAAATAATTGATAAATAATCAGATGCATTCAGATAGTTACAGAGAAATCAAGAACAAAAATTTATCATTGTGAATGAAAAGATTAGACATCTGAATTTCTTTTACAGTAAATCTCTGACGACTTCGATATCTTTTTTGAAACTCTACATTAATATTACAGATTCTCTTTATTTTAACAAAAAAAAATTTCAAAGAAAATAAATACTGAATAAAGAGCAGGAAATAATTACATGTTTTTACTTCCTCTTTGAATACGTAGTTCAACGTTATCTAGAAAACATGGTTCTTCTTCTTATCGTAAAGTTTGAATTGTTAAGTAAGGTATATTGGTAGGTATTTGTTCAAAATTGAAGCACCTGTTCTATTGAATTTTTCGGTTGTTGAATTACAAATAGAATCTAAATCAAGAAAAAAATCGATGGTGAGTTACCGAAGATGCCCATTAACTATCTGTACTTACTGGATGATATAACAGTCACTGGCATCCATGGTGAACTGTAAAAACTTATAATTAACATCAGAGTGCCTCGTTTACAACTCCCAACATTAGCTGACAACTTATATTCAGCTGCGCCAGTGTTAATAAATATAGAAATAGTAAAGGATGTCCCAAAAGTTTCGACTTCTCTCTATAAATTGACGTTGTTTATATTGAAAACTTATATGAATAGTTAATCAAAATATACCATTTTGTAGAGGGCAATTAAAGCTATCATCTGCAAAAAAATTGTTTAAACTAGGTTGGACTTATTAAAAGCTATGATCGTTTTATTACTCATGAGTAAGCATTGTCTATTTTACATTTTTTTGTAAAATCAAAAATATTTTGGAATGTTCGAGTCATTACGGTTGATCGAGCTATTATTTTTTGTTTGTTTTTATTAGATACTTTTGTATGGTTTGATAGAATTTGACAAGCTGTACAAGAATATGGTTACCAAAAAACATTTCTAGTTCTCTTTTCAATACAAAACTTTTGAAAAATAGCAGGACTCATAAAAATCTGGCATAAAGTGTGTTGGAAGGAACATACCTAAGTATCCATAACTTTAGAAGATCTATTATTTCGTCTGTTAATTTATGTTTCGAGATACATTATCACATAATGAGGGTGAAAATAGGTTTTCCAAGCTTCAGAAATAGATGGAATTATCGATCAACTAAAGTTATTCAATGTTTAGTATACTCTATTTCGAAGGCAGGATACGTGAGAGTTTTATTGATCTCTGGTTTTTTTTCTAAGTTTTCAATCAGAAAGAGGATCAGAAATTTTTTGCCATTCATATTTTTGTATTACTCGACGAACTCTATCGAACCATATAGAAATATCTGAGAAACAATGTTTTGCTTTCATTGTTCTAAGAATATTTTTGATTTTACAAAAGAATGTAAAATAGACAATGCTTACTTATGAGTAATAAAACGATCATAGCTTTTAATAAGTCCAATCTTGTTCAAACAATTTCTTTTGCAGATGATAGCTTTAATCGCGCTCTACAAAATGGTATATTTTGCTTAGCTATTCCTATAAGTTTTCAATATAAATAACGTCAATTTATAGAGAGAAGTCGAAGCTTTTGGGACATCTTTTACTATTTCTTTATTTCAAGAATGATTAATTGACATACATGAGAAAGTGATCGTCTCACCAATATTATATTTTTATCCTTCATAAGAATCATTTTTAGTCGTTTTAATGTTAATGGTCATGTTGGAATTTTTTCGGCAAGAATAGCAATTAACTATAATATATTGAAGACTTTCAAGTTGAGAAAAGTCCTACACAACAAAAATCAATATTGATTAAATAAAAAAATTATTATAGTATTACTTTAATCCATTTCATATTTCTACATGAACTAAGCACAAATCGTCGGAGTTTTGGAAGATTAAATTTCAACATTACTGATCCACATATAGATTCAATTGTTAATGAGTTAAGATTTGTAAGAAATTCTAGTTGATTGAAGAATGTATACCCAGATCCAACTTTGATTTTTAACATGGAAAATGATCTAAGTTGAAAAAAAGTTTTAATGAGAAAATATTTTTGAAAAAAGTTATCTATTTGTCCATATGTATGATCATCATTAGAAATTTCTAATGGTTTCCATCGTTGTGTATCATATTGTCGAAAAATCAGATCAAATTTTGCTTTGCTTATTGATTTACAATCAAAGAATTCACAATAATTAGAAAGTAATGATTGAAAACGATTGTTAAGACATGAGAAAGCAAAAACAACATCAATTCCATTCAAATAAGATAAAATTTCAATAAATATTTCATTAGGTAAAATATTCAAGTAATGTTCCATCAATTGCTTCTAATTGTTTATTCTTCATCTTCATTCGGTGTTTTTTTGAAGTTAGCACAAAAAAACAGGATTGAAGTAAGAAAATGACTTTCGTTTTCTCGTTATCTTCTCGATATAAAAGGAAGACGATCCAACCAAATAATAAGATATAAGTGAAAAATAAAATCAATTACAATATTGTTGTATTGCACATTTTATTCAATATAAATTAACTTGAGTATAAAGGAAAAGAATCATTTGATATTAAGAAACAAAACAAAAAGAAACCCGTCTTATCTTTTATTTTTATTTTCACAAAAGGATTTTTTTCGCACGTTTCTATTTTCTTCTTTTTTAAATAGCAATGTTGAATCTTACGGAAAAAAAAACTAATCGAAATGTTTTCATTTTATGAAATATACATAAAGTTTATTATTTGATTATATTGTTCGAGTTGATTGTGGAAAGAAAGAAATAGTATCATACTCAATCAATGCACACATCTTACAAAATCAACAATAATCAATGACGAAGAAAACTATTTCAATGTTATGTTCGAATCTAATCTATATCATTTTTATCAATTATCATTAACTAATT